GTTTAAACCTTTTCTTGAGTTCTTATAATAGTGGTCTTATACAATATTTGTCCTTCTGTGACTGACTAAATTCACTCAGCATAATGCCCACCAGCTTCCTCCATGTTATAAGATGTTTTCACGGCTTCATCGTTGTTCTTTGTCATTGTGTAGTATTCCATTGTGTGGCTATACCATAATTTGTTTATCCATTCGTCTGTTGATGGGCACCTAGGCTGTTTCCATCTTTTCGCTATTGTGAACAGTGCTGCAATGAAAATGGGTATGCATATATCTATTCGTGTGACAGCTCTTATTTCTCTAGGATATATTCCAAGGAGCAGGATAGCTGGATCGTATGGTACTTCTATTTCTGGCTTTTTCAGGAAGAGCCAAATTGATTTCCATAGTGGTTGTACCGTTTTACATTCCCACCAACAGTGTATAAGTGTTCCAGTCTCTCCACAACGTCTCCAGCATTTATTATTTAGTGTTTTTTGAATTAATGCTAGCCTTGTTGGGGTGAGATGGTATCTCATTGTAGTTTTGATCTGCATTTCTCATGCAGATATTTTTAATCATAGGGAATATTTCAAATTATTTCCTCTGACTTTAGTCAAGGACTCTGGAAAACTGTAGATTGTGCAGTTTTAACTGATAACTAATAGTGATCTGTAATTTTAGCTCACTTTTTATAATATTGACCTTTTGTCTTTACTCCTGAAAAGGGTAGAGTGAAATATAGGACCTAGTTCATAATTCAGTCTTTGTAGATCTACAGCTGAGCCTGTACCTATCCTGATTATTAAATATTATTGATTCCTGTGGAGAAGAGTATAGAACTCTGTGGTTTAAATTAGAGCTCTCCATGCTGACAATTAATATTGTAATGAAAATTATAGTGAGCTGCTTTCTTCAAGATGGACCCTGTACTTGTCTATTCCCAGACTTCCCCATCTATTCACTGTGCCTGGGACAAAGCCTTCTTCTGGACTTTGATGGCCACACAAATATTGATTTAGCTAAATCTTTATTTGTAAGTATAAGCAGACAAGAAAAAATTACCAGTTATATGAAGAGAATCAACAACTTGAAAATAGGGAATGAAGCTGAGCAATCAAAACAAATTCTCCCCTCACCTCTACTGAAATAGCTAATGCAAGAAAACAGGAAATAACTTTTTTAATTTTTCATTAGTATTCTCCGTAAGGTTTGAGAGGATATTATTTTATCCATAAAACAAAAACAGACTATCCTCATTACCCGCAGAATAAAAGTCAAGTTCTTACATTGGGTTCATAAGGCCCTCATGGTCTCTCCTTATTTCCTATGCTTCTCCAACTCGTTCTGCTCTAGCCACGTTGAGTTCCTTGAACATATCAGGCATGCTGCTGCCTTAAGACTTTATAATGACTGTTGTTTCTTCCCAGAAAACTCTCCTCGAGTAGTCACAAAGCTAATTCCCTCACCTCCTTCAAGAGCCTAGAACAGACATA